CACAAACAAGCATCTGGGAGAAGTTGGGGATCCCAACTAATCCAACAACCACACATAACAAGTGCAAAGAAAATACAAGAAATAATATTATTTCTACAATTAACACATATGGAGCTCACATAATGAATCGTTATCACATTTTCAAGACACAAAGAAAATAGCATACCAAATATCACAAAGATTTTAATTAAAAGAGAATTAAGCACATTTAAAGCAAACTCAAAGGAAATATAGTCAAACACTTTGCACTTATCATTTCTCTCATGTTCCCTAATGTCTTTTTCTCTAATAACATAGCAATCACACAACTCAAGCATATTGCACACAACATTCATATCATGCTCCACCTTAATAGAAATATTATTTTCTTTATTTTCACCATGAAAATCATTTTCATTCACAAATTTGAGCTCGGTTTCAAGTAAATCAGAATGAACTTCAACAGGCAAATGCTCCACCTCATTTGGAGAAACATCAGGAGAAACAAGCAAGCAAGGAAATTCATTTTCAGCAAAAATGACATTTCTACTCATCAACACATTGAAGCAAGTTTCACTCCTACACCAAAGCCTATAACCTTTCATGCATTCATGATATCCTAAGAAAACAAATTCCTTAGTCCTACGTTCAGATTTATCATTTTCACGATTCACATAAGCAGCACAACCAAACACTCTCAAATTTGGCAAGTCAAGCGGTTTGCCCATGCACATAAATTCAAGGCATTTCTCTCCTAAGGGAACAGACGGGGACAGATTAACCAAATCAGCAGCATAACAAATAGCTTCCTCCCATAACTTATTAGAGAGCCCAGATGAAGCTAACATAGCCCTCACCCTCTCTAATAAAGTTCTAACCATCCTATCAGCAACCCTATCTGATTGGGGTGGGGAGGGAACACATTTATGCATAGAAATACCCCAAGTATCACATAAATCACCAAGATGATCATCACAGAAATCAAAACTGAAAGTGGTCCTTAAAAATTTATTTTCTTACCGGTTTGTTTTTTCAACAAGGGTTTTCCAGTTCTTAAACTTATCAAAAACTTCAGATTTATTTTCAATCAACAAAACTCACACTTTCTTTGAAAAATCATCAATCAACGTCAGAAAATTATTTTTTCCACCATGAGTGGAAACACTATAAGGACCCCACAAATCAGCATGAATACAATCAAGCACATCAGTACACTCAGGCAGATAAGGAAAACCAACTCTAGACTGTTTTCCTAGCACACAGGGTTGCACACAATTCACAGAATCAAGTACGGGTTCAACATGACAAACATACAAGTTGTTTTTCATCTCAGCTTTAAAAACAACTAAACAACCCATAACAACTTTCATGATTCCCTTTCCCCCATTTTCCATTCAAATCCTCATTTTCAAGAGAAGCACAAGATAGCAAATTACAACACAGCTCACGAACATGCCTAACATTCTTCAAAGTAAGCACATAACCAAAAGAAAACCTAAGGGATACATCTCCTATTCCTAGCACATTGCATTTCTTCTTATTTGCTAAAGACACAAAGCCATGCTCAATCTCTCTATAGTTTGAAAAAACATTTTTCAAAGGGGACATCTGAAAAGTGCAACCAGAATCTACCACCCAAAGAATCAGATATCATAGAACTCAAATAGTCATAATCAGGCATATTACTCATCATAAAAACATCACCTAAATCATCATCACACATATGCTATTTTTTCCTAGATTTAGGACAGTCTCTTATGAAATGACCAGATTCATGACAATAATAGCAACGCCTCGAATTAGACCTATACTTAGATCTATGTCGTCTACTATTATTTTCTCTACCCCTCACATGCATAACTTCCTCGGATTTTCTACCCTCATCCATCTGTTTTAAATCTAATTCCTTACTCTTAAGACCATTTACCACAATGTCAAGAGTCACATTATCTCTACCATACTTAATAGCAGATTTCACATCACCAAAGGAATCAGGAATAGCATTTAAAAGAGCAATAGGGGAATAATCATCTATATGCTTATCACCACACAACTTAATATAAAAAATAAGTTTGGTAAGACATCTACATTTTCCTCAATATCCTTAGACATATATAGTCTAAATTTGAAGAACTTTTCAAGTAAAAACATCCGATTAGGCAAAGAGGTTACATTATAAAGTTCTTCAAGTTTATTCCACACAGATTTAGCTGATTCTAAAATTCCTACTTTTCTGAGCACACAATCAGATAAGTTCAAGTAAATTGTGGAACAAGCATTTTCATTCATTTCTGCTTTTTTCTCTTCCGTATCGGAAGCCAAATAGGTCTCACTAATGGCCCTATATGATTTTTGTTGAACTAATATGCACTTTATTTTCTGCTTCCATATGCTAAAATCAATTTTTCCATTAAATGGAGCCATTCCATACTAATTAAATGCAGACATTTTCACATAGAAAATTAAACAAGAAAATTTAAAATGCAACTTTAGCTAGAAAACCAGTTCAATATTCATAGGGCTATAATTGTATGGAGCAACTAGCGCGAAACAGCCGGGAATAACAATGAGCACAAGACTCCGTTCAAACCCCTTATTCTTCCGTACAAGCACACATAAATATAATTCTAGCAAATATTAAAACAACAATAAATCTAAGAATTAAAAATAAATGAAAAAACAGAATGTGAAATTGCAGTTAAAAGAAGACTTACAATAGCCAAACACTAGGAGAGTGTTTGGACCTTACCCACCCAATTCAAAAACTGGGATTTTTTTTCTGACTGTTGACTGGCGATCTGACTGTTGACCAGCAACTCCCGCAGTACAAGTTAGCAGCCCACTCCAGCCAAGGTCTAGCAGTGGCCCAGGTCCAGCAGCTCCAGAAGCACAACAAGCTCCAGCAGTTAAACAGTCTGGTCCATCAATCCGTAGCCCAATAGCCTAGAAACCAGTCCAGCTCTCCTGCTCCAGGTCTGTATCTTCTGCGTAAGATTCAGGCAAACGCCCAGGCCTTCAACGGAATCCAACTCCAGCTCCAGAGCAATTACAGTCCAGGCGAACTGTTCCCTGCTGCGTTCAATTTTTGTCCAAGTTTTGGCCTCAAGAATTCAGCCCGTCTTCAACCCTTCAGCTCCCAGGCGAACGGCTACAGTGTTTCATCTCCCAGGCGAACAATTGAACGGCAGTAGAGTCAACCCAGCGTTCCAGTTTGTCCGGCCATGCACAAAGCTTCCGGTCTACAAAATTCTAGGCGGACGGTGAGACTCTCCGGCGATGACTGCTCCAACTGCGGATGGATCTCCAGGCGACAATTCCTAGGCAGAAGCTCCAGCGGCGTCCTTGACCCACGAGCTCCAGAATCAACGAACGACGAACGGATTTAGGCGGCTAAAGCTCCAGCGAGGCTTCTCAGTGGCGAGCGGACCTCCAGCCATGAGTAACAGACTTCCAGACCTCGAAACGGTGTCGTACGGCGGCAGACGGCGGTGCACGGCGGCGTACGGCGGAACTCAGCGAAATCAACGGCGAAGACAGCCCACCTGGCTCTGATACCACTGTTGAGGATCGATTCTGTCGACGTATTCCGGCTTAGGCAGTCCGGAGCTCGTTTTTCCGGTTGTCTCTTGTGCACACCTAGGCTAAGGGAGCAACACACCTTTCTAACCTCACCAAGTCTAATATTATTCTTTGGTTGATGTGGAAATGGCTATTGAGAGCAATCTTAACAAAGTAAATCTCACAGCTTCGAGGAATACTGCTCCCTGGATAGAAAATTTTGAAGAAGGTAAAATCATCGTGAATCCTGAACTCGGGATGATCTACAGAGATTACAAAGGCGTGAAGATCATCCTATTGATGGAAGAAATTCATAAATATTGTGATGGAACGCTTCTCATCATTGAAGATCTTGCTAATGAATGTACTAAGAAGTTTATCAAATCAAATCAATCAGAAAACCCAGTTCAGACCGCCCTCATCGATGATTTTCCAACTATTGTTAGCCTACGACTTGAATTCAGAAGAAACATCAGATAATATGAAGTCATTCTACGCTACAAGAAATCGCGATAACAGACTCAAAGATAATCTGATCTTCATCGCGATTTCAACACAAAGGGAGAGATTGTTAGAGCATTGTTTATTGGGTTCGAATTGATTGTAATTATCTTTGATCAATTAGTCTTAGTATTAACAGGCTTTTAGTTGAGAGAGAAGCAGATATTTTAATTAAATAAGCCCCATCGCCCTACTTGTCCTAATTGTACTAGGATGTTCGAATTTTCCTATAAATAAAGGTAGGGGGGTTTGAACAGCCTAAGCATCGACACATTAAATTTCGCACCTATTATTCTGGTAGAGCACGTCTCTAATTTTTCTCTCTCAACAACTCATTCGTATATCATGTATTATTGGCATATCATATGAATATACGGTATTGAATAATGATGAATTATTATTCTTGTACACGATTTCTTCATATTAGTATTTATATGTTATTTGACTATTGGTCTGGGGTTCACACATTTACAATAATAAAAGCAGGCATGATCAAAAGTTACGAGAATAAATCTATAATTTTCTCTATATTTAAACTAGAAGTTATTAAACGCTCATCGATTCAAAGGATAAGGATAGTAGTAAGCACAAAACCTCTTTAATACATTGAGCATGTTTCATAACAAATATTTTCGATTTGCACTAGAAGTTATTAAACACTCCCTTTATTAGTCAACTTTATTAAATACTTAAAGTTTGATTTCGCGCGCTCAACTATGTCATAGTAAACATACATAAACATTGAGTAACTCGATTTGCTGAAAATGTTTATTGTAAATATTTTCTTACAATTTATCTTTATGTCAATTCATCAATAACATATAGAGCATGTTTTAGATAGAATTTAAGCACAATTCTGCAGATTTAGCCGATTGAGTCAGAATTTCATACAATTGATTCAGCTATCTTAGTGTTATAAAACAATTTTTAACTAAATAACAACGATGTTTTAACCAAATACCTACAATTTTAATTTTCATTTTCAAGTTCAAGACTCAGACAAATAGACCAAGATGGAAATGACAAGAGATCTGAAAGACGGGGGGGTAACTAGGCAAGTTTGATCGACAGACCCAACTCGCATAAGATTGACACTTAGTACCTCAATAAGTTATTGGCTAAGACAGAAGATGACCATTGAAAAGGTCGACATATGAAATGAAGTTATACTACTTACTATTGATGTGCATTACTAGACTCCTCATCTAAATGCATAGATCGAGACATTTGTGCACATTAATTAAGATTTTCTTTATGTTGCATCATAAATGAGCAGTAACGGAGACAATTCTAATTGCTTGATTATGTCTGAATGGGGTTTATGGTTGACATTGCCACACCAAAACCAATGAGGGTTGAACACTTGTTTCCTCCGCCATTGCCATTCTCATCGTTGATGCTTAATTTAGAAGCACCTTCCACCAATGTAACCTCTGTCCCAAAGCTAGACTCCATCACACTGGACCTTTCAGAGATCCTCCCCTCCACCATGTGTTCATGGAGTTGGATGAGGTCGGCTCGGAGCTTGCCATCAGAACGATCAACCTGAAAATACTCATATCGCTTTGACTTTTCCTTGGTGATGATAAGCCTTTCGTCATGTGTGTAGTTCCGCTTCATCACCCATTTCACACGTGACGTCGGTTGTCCATCAGTTCTTGCAAGCCAAGTCAACGTTGGAGGGTATTCCTTCTTCATGTGAGACTTTTGTTGCTGCTTCTTTTTGCTTGGAACTACGATGTTAATCGGGGTGCGCTCAGCCCATGTACCCTCCAAATCAGTCACAAATTCAACATGGCTCTCCGTGCCAAGAAATTCAGGCAACTCAATCCTATACATGGAGACTAATTTCTGTTTTGGTAAGTATTTCAATTTTATGACAGGCTTTCTTGTGTTTGAGAAGAGTTCACTATGGATGTTTATATAGAAACTTGGGATCACCACTTGTTTATGCCTTCTCTATGTGGGCCCACAATCTCGAGAAACATCGTTTGTCCAATGTGAAAAGATGGGAATAAGCGGAGTTTACTAAGTATTTTGCAGGTCAACTAAGAGAGTTAACACTGTTTGTTACAAAATACTCCGTAATTAATAAAAAGTGACGCTTTTACGATATATGTCTAATATTATTTAAATATATGTGTTTTTCCTAACAAATACTCCCTCCGATCCTAAATAAACTTCACACTTTCCTTTTTGGGTAAGTTCAAAATAAACTTCACACTTCTATTTTTCGCAAGTTTTTAATATAAAATTACTAATATACCCTTACTATATTGCCTACTTTACACCCAGTTTCTCTCTCTCACTACACTTTATCTACTTTTTGTTGGGGTATGATGGGTAAGTAAAAAACAAAAATTTCACTTTCTTAAAAATCATTAAGTCAAACTATGAAGTTCATTTAGGACCAGAGGGAGTATATGACTTCATATGTTGTTCCTGCCGTATGAGTCTGACTTCATTGATGATAAATATGAAGTATTATATTTTTCAGTATGTCACTAGACATAGATGGTCACAGGCGGCGGCAGGTCACTACAACATAACGGGTCACTGGCGGCGGCAGCATGTCACAGACAATAGTAGGTCACTGTGATAACATGTCATTGGGACCGGAGTCACTTTGACTGAATAGGACATAAATGTCTTAATAGTCACTTTCTTAAAAAAATTGAATATCGTCCTATTTTATTTTCCCTCGATTTTTCCTTTATTAGTATTTTAGGAAATTGCATTAAATAGGAGTAACAAGTTTTGAAATTCCAAAATATGGCTGCTATTTTTCCTTTCTTTCCCGAAATAGGAGTCGTAACTCTCATGATTGAAAAATATTGTCATTATTGAAAAAACAATATTAATTACTGTCATATTTAATGCTTGCAACTATTTGGTAGTAATGATTACAAGATAGCAGTAAATATTGTCATGTTACTTCTATCTCAGAAGGAAAAACATTGCAGTCCAATATTGAAATTCGAAGCTTATTTACTTCTATTTCAGAAATTTTCCCTATTAATTAATTTTTACAAAGACCTTATATATAATTAATACTCTGTATAGTTTTTGAATGATTATGATAACAATTAATAATTTTGGAATTCGAAGCTTATTTACTTCTATTTCAGGAATTTCCCCTATTAATTAATTTTTACAAAGACCTTATATATAATTAATACTCTGTATAGTTTTTGAATGATTATGATAAAAATTAATAATTTTGGAATTCAAAGCTTATTTACTTCTATTATAAGAATTTTCCCTATTAATTAATTTTTACAAAGACCTTATATATAATTAATACTCTTTATATTATAGTTTTTGAATGACATAATTTTTATTAGGGATAAGGGTCAGATAGGGCCTCGAACTCGAAAAAAAAATGTCAAATAAGGTCATATTTCGGATGCTCTGTCTGGCCGACGCCATTTGGGGCGGTTCCCGATGGAATTTTATGATGAAATTTTTTGAGCATCTTCCTCATTAAGTCTAGTTTACCCATACCAAATTTCAGCTAAAAACTCAACCGGGAAGGTAGTCAAATGAGTTTTTGAAGATAACTGTGAAGTTAAACAACGCCGTACATTTCGGAAAATTATTTGACTACCTTCCCGGTTGAATTTTTAGCTGAAATTTGGTATGAGTAAACTAGACTTAATGAGGAAGATAGTCAAAAAAATTCATTAAAAAATTCCATCGGGAACCGCCCCAAATGGCGTCGGCCAGACAGAGCATCCGAAATATGACCTTATTTGACATTTTTTTTCGAGTTCGAGGCCCTATCTGACCCTTATCCCTTTTTATTACAAAAGTGAGAAATGGATTCCATTGTGGATAAAAGTTGTAGGGGAGAATAGGACACGGGAAGTGGGCCCAGGATAGTGGGTCGCCAAAGAATGCATGATGCATTGGTAATACATGTAGAAAATTGCATACTATTGCATCTTGATAAGTTCAGAGGCCACACCCAATTGATAATACAACAAAATTTTGAAAAATCAGGTACTATTGCATACTAAACTTATCAAAAACTTCAGATTTATTTTCAATCAACAAAACCCACACTTTCTTTGAAAAATCGTCAATCAACGTCAGAAAATTATTTTTTCCACCATGAGTGGAAACACTATAAGGACCCCACAAATCAGCATGAATACAATCAAGCACATCAGTACACTCAGGCAGATAAGGAAAACCAACTCTAGACCGTTTTCCTAGCACACAGGGTTACACACAATTCACAGAATCAAGTACGGGTTCAACATGACAAACATACAAGTTGTTTTTCATCTCAGCTTTAAAAACAACTAAACAACCCATAACAACTTTCATGATTCCCTTTCCCCCATTTTCCATTCAAATCCTCATTTTCAAGAGAAGCACAAGATAGCAAATTACAACACAGCTCACGAACATGCCTAACATTTTTCAAAGTAAGCACATAACCAAAAGAAAACCTAAGGGATACATCTCCTATTCCTAGCACATTGCATTTCTTCTTATTTGCTAAAGACACAAAGCCATGCTCAATCTCTCTATAGTTTGAAAAAACATTTTTCAAAGGGGACATATGAAAAGTGCAACCAGAATCTACCACCCAAAGAATCAGATATCATAGAACTCAAATAGTCATAATCAGGCATATTACTCATCATAAAAACATCACCTAAATCATCATCACACATAGTCAAATTAGCATGCTCACTATGCTCATTTTTCCTAGATTTAGGACAGTCTCTTATATATGAAATGACCAGATTCATGACAATAATAGCAACGCCTCGAATTAGACCTATACTTAGATCTATGTCGTCTACTATTATTTTCTCTACCCCTCACATGCATAACTTCCTCGGATTTTCTACCCTCACCAATCTGTTTTAAATCTAATTCCTTACTCTTAAGACCATTTACCACAATGTCAAGAGTCACATTATCTCGACCATACTTAATAGCAGATTTCACATCACCAAAGGAATCAGGAATAGCATTTAAAAGAGCAATAGGGGAATAATCATCTATATGCTTATCACCACACAACTTAATATCAAAAATAAGTTTGGTAAAGACATCTACATTTTCCTCAATGTCCTTAGACATATATAGTCTAAATTTGAAGAACTTTTCAAGTAAAAACATCCGATTAGGCAAAGAGGTTACATTATAATGTTCTTCAAGTTTATTCCACACAGATTTTGCTGATTCTAAAATTCCTACTTTTCTGAGCACACAATCAGATAAGTTCAAGTAAATTGTAGAACAAGCATTTTCATTCATTTCTGCTTTTTTCTCTTCCGTATCGGAAGCCAAATAGGTCTCACTAATGGCCCTATATGATTTTTGTTGAACTAATATGCACTTTATTTTCTGCTTCCATATGCTAAAATCAATTTTTCCATTAAATGGAGCCATTCCATACTAATTAAATGCAGACATCTTCACATAGAAAATTAAACAAGAAAATTTAAAATGCAACTTTAGCTAGAAAACCAGTTCAATATTCATAGGGCTATAATTGTATGGAGCAACTAGCGCGAACCAGCCGGGAATAACAATGAGCACAAGACTCCGTTCAAACCCCTTATTCTTCCGTACAAGCACACATAAATATAATTCTAGCAAATATTAAAACAACAATAAATCTAAGAATTAAAAATAAATGAAAAAACAGAATGTGAAATTGCAGTTAAAAGAAGACTTACAATAGCCAAACACTAGGAGAGTGTTTGGACCTTACCCACCCAATTCAAAAACTGGGATTTTTTTCTGACTGTTGACTGGCGATCTGACTGTTGACCAGCAACTCCCACAGTACAAGTTAGCAGCCCACTCCAGCCAAGGTCTAGCAGTGGCCCAGGTCCAGCAGCTCCAGAAGCACAACAAGCTCCAGCAGTTAAACAGTCTGGTCCATTAATCCGTAGCCCAATAGCCTAGAAACCAGTCCAGCTCTCCTGCTCCAGGTCTGTATCTTCTGCGTAAGATTCAGGCAAACGTCCAGGCCTTCAACGGAATCCAACTCCAGCTCCAGCGCAATTACAGTCCAGGAGAACTGTTCCCTGCTGCGTTCAATTTTCGTCCAAGTTTTGGCCTCAAGAATTCAGCCCGTCTTCAACCCTTCAGCTCCCAGGCAAACGGCTACAGTGTTTCATCTCCCAGGCGAACAATTGAACGGCAGTAGAGTCAACCCAGCGTTCCAGTTTGTCCGGCCAAGCACAAAGCTTCCGGTCTACAAAATTCTAGGCGGACGGTGAGACTCTCCGGCGATGACTGCTCCAACTGCGGATGGATCTCCAGGCGACGATTCCTAGGCAGAAGCTCCAGCGGCGTCCTTGACCCACGAGCTCCAGAATCAATGAACGACGAACGGATTTAGGCGGCTAAAGCTCCAGCGAGGCTTCTCAGTGGCGAGCGGACCTCCAGCCATGAGTAACAGACTTCCAGACCTCGAAACGGTGTCGTACGGCGGCAGACGGCGGTGCACGGCGGCGTACGGCGGAACTCAGCGAAATCACGGCGAAGACAGCCCACCTGGCTCTGATACCACTGTTGAGGATCGATTCTGTCGACGTATTCCGGCTCAGGCAGTCCGGAGCTCGTTTTTTCGGTTGTCTCTTGTGCACACCTAGGCTAAGGGAGCAACACACCTTTCTAACCTCACCAAGTCTAATATTATTCTTTGGTTGATGTGGAAATGGCTATTGAGAGCAATCTTAACAAAGTAAATCTCACAGCTTCAAGGAATACTGCTCCCTGGATAGAAAATTTTGAAGAAGGTAAAATCATCGTGAATCCTGAAATCGGGATGATCTATAGAGATTACAAAGGCGTGAAGAATATCCTATTGATGGAAGAAATTCATAAATATTGTGATGGAACGCTTCTCATCATTGAAGATCTTGCTAATGAATGTACTAAGAAGTTTATCAAATCAAATCAATCAGA